AGTGATAAGCAGATTGAGAGAATTTTAACGCCATTGAACGGAAGTTTGTCGGCGATGGACGATCGAGTTGGAGTCCGTTAGCAATCAACTATCGAGTGGAGAGCTTAAGGAGAGAGTTCGAAGGTGCGTTGCAAGTAGCAGTCTAGCGACAATCTATTGATTGCTGAAGTAAGGACCGCCAGCAAATATCAGATAAATGTTCGATGATGACATGTGTATAGTGGCATTTTGTAAAGATAATAAGCATCCATATGGAAATTTGTCGACATCATATATCTCTGATTCAAGGAGCTAAAGCTGTGTGCTATGTTAGTAGTCTGGCGACACACTTATAGTATCAACTGAGTTGAGGCTTGATGAAGATCAAATTGTAATCTTTCTTTAAGGAAGAAGTTGTAAGAAATTCATCCATTCATAATAGAGAAGAGGTCACTTGAATCCACAAAGGATATTTGACCGTTTTAAAGCTTCTTGTTGCTTGATGATTGTAACTTGTACGGATGATACCAATGTACCTTTTCACTTTTAGATTCTTGAAAAAATGAACTTGATGTGCAATTTTTGTAATGTAACTCCAGTGATGTTGTATATGAAATTGAGAACTCATTCTTTAGAGAAAGTTGAATTGTGATTGCATCTTTAACACATGATTTTGATATATTGCTCCTCATATTTTTGGAGTGATGATTTTATCAATCACTTGCTTTCTTGGAGTCTTTATAGAGATAACATTATTCACTCAGAGTGTTGTTCGATGATGCTGACCTCTACAGAAGAGATGGAGAGAACTCACCGAGGATGTGAGACCTATTCGAGATTGTATGCCGGAGCCTTTTCTCGATGAAGTTAACATGCATGGAAGATGTCGAGAGAATCCACCAAGGATGTAAGACCTATTCGAGGTTGTATGTCAGAGCTTTGCTCGATGACGTTAACCTGTATGTAAGAGGTCAAGAGAATCCACTATGGAGATAAGACCTATCCTAGGTTGTATGGCAGAGCCATGCTCGATGACGTTAACCTGTGTGGAAGAGGTCGAGAGAATCCACCAATGATGTAAGACCTATCCGAGGTTATATGTCAGAGCCCTGCTCGATGACGTTAACCTGTGTTGAAGAGGTCGAGAGAATCCACCAAGAATGTAAGACCTATTGGAGGTTGTATGTCAGAGCCCTGCTCGATGACGTTAACCTGTGTGGAAGAGGATGAGAGAGTCCACCAAGGATGTAAGACCTATCCGAGATTGTATGTCAGAGCCCTACTCGATAATGTTAACATGTGTGGAAGAGGTCGAGAGAGTCCACCAAGGATGTAAGACCTATCCGAGGTTGTATGTCAGATCCCTGCTCGATGACGTTAACTTGTGTGGAAGAGGTCGAGAGAATCCACTAAGGATGTAAGACCAAATTCTCCTGGGATTGATAATCTGGTAATTGAGATACAATATAGATTGCATATTTCTTGAATCACGGAAAAAGAGTTTGAGAAGTTTTTTATCTTTTATAAGAGAAAATAATATCATAACAACGTGAACATCACATTACTGTATTATGTAAGACAGTACAATAATTCCCTAGTATGACTTAGGGATATACAAGTTAGAATGACTCAACACATAAGATATATGTACGGGCATAATACAACATTTAACCTTGAAGAATACATTAAATATATCAAAGTGACACCCTACTCAACATAAAAGAGACAACAAGACAAGTAGTATTGTTAATACAAATGCACGAAGTGCGTGATCATTCAATCTCTCCAACTATTTAAATATTATTCAATGGTTGTCTTTATTATTGATTTTGTTCCCCAGTGGGACGAATTTTCTCTCGGGTAGATGGATCTCGAATAAATTGTCGAAGATAGTCTTGGCGGATAAGTCTTTCAATCTCATCATTTAGTTGCTTACAGGCTTTGGTAGTGTGACCACGACTACGATGAAAGTGACAGTACTGATCTGGATTTCTTTTGTTCGACTTCAAACGATTCAGCCATTTCAATGTATCTTAATCTCGAACGGTCATCAATACATTTGCTCGAGATGTGTTGAGTGGGGTATACTCCTCCTATCGAGGTTCCCATCGCAGTAATGAGGGCCTAGGAGGAAGATTATTCTTCCCTTGCTTTTTTTGTTGTGAGAATGAATTGTCCATCCCAGGTGCACCTTTGCGCTTCCTATTGGTTTGCTCAAACTGCTTTCTGTGAGCATTTATAGCTTCATCTGCAGAAATTTGTGCCTCTTCACGATGGATCAGATCAGCTATGAATGAACAGTGTCGTGCATGAGTGCTGAATAGAAGGGGCCAGGACGAAGGCCTCCAAGAAAGACCCATCTGAGTAATTCAGGGTCTATTCCTGGAATTTGTCGAGCCTCAGTGGAAAATCATTGAAAATACTTCTTTAATGATTCTCCCTCAATTTGGCGGATCCCGAATAGGTGGGAAGAATCCTTAGCAATTCTTCGATTAGCCACAAACTGTTTAACGAATAGTTTGACTAATTTGACAAATGAAGGGATCGTTCTGGACTGAAGTGAATAGAACCACGTTCGAGCATGTCCTTTAAGGGTGGCAGAAAAAACCTAGCAACGGAGTGCGTCCGATGCTCGTTGAATGTGCATGATGGTTCTATAGTAGTCGATATGCTCATACGGGTCGGTCGTCCCATCATAGGACTCAACGTTTGGTACTTTGAATCCAACTGGAATGGGGTGCTGAAGAATGGCTTCAATTAGAGGTGATGACTCTTGGAAGTTCCTTTGTCGGAGAGTTTGTCTCACATCTTCTCGGAGGAACTCTTCCAGTACTAATCTCCGCAGTTCATGACGGAAGGTGTTGCGAGGGAGCTCAACAACTAGTGGTTGGGCTGAGTCTTCTATGAGATCTGGAAGAACGCGAGGTTGCCGACCAGTGTGTGAGGGATGTGTAGAACTTGCTGTATCAGCGAGTTCTTTGTTCTGATGTATTTGCCTTCTTGGGGGAGGAAGAGGAATTTCTGCTTTAAGATGCTCGAATTGAACATCTTCAACCTGTGGGGGATCTCGAGGGAGAAGCACTTCCTCCCGTTGTGCTAGTACCGGTTGCTGATTCTCTCGCAGGAGTTGAAGAATCTCATTATGAGATTCTTCCATCTTTCGGATTCTTTCTTCTAAAAAAGTTCCTGAGGTTCCTTCTCCGGCAGCATTTTGTACCCCAAGATGAAAAGAGTTAGACATCGGGTGTCTGTGATTCACAGACTGATTTCTGGATTGGTGGGAGTTGGAGCGGGAAGCCCCAACGATGCGACTGCTACGTCTGTTGACCATTATAGCAATACTTGATGTTGTAGGATAGTGTTTCCCACAGACGGCGCCAAACTATTGCCGGCTAGAATATACATGACGATAGAGTTGAAATACTTTCGTCTTAGCGTTGTACGAATACTCAGCACACAAACAGGAAAGGAAAATAACATCAAGATTTTTACGTGGAAAACCTGAAAGAGGGGAAAAACCACGATGTCACGCCCAGTTGAAGTAATTCCACTAGTGTTTGTTTGAAGTACAGAGGCTGATTCGTCCCACAAGTTAGGACAATCAGATTACAAAGAGTTTCTCTTGAATTGAAATTTAGTTACAAAGTTATGCAGTATTTTGGCGTCTCCCGAATATCCGGCAGAATTCCGACGTATTCAGACGGCGGAATGAACTCCGGCGGTGGTCGAGGAGGAGCTTATTCTCCTCCTCCTTATCTTCTCTTTTTCTTCGCTTCTCTTCTTCTCTCTCTTGCTTGGATCACATCTCAGGAGAAATGAGGGGTTTATTTATAAATTTCTTGGAGTGGCATGACCCGTAAATAGGTGAGAGATCATGGGCGAATCGGGAGTGGTTCGAATGGACGGCCGATATTGAATCCCTTGATCATAGACCGTTCATCAGATATTTGAAGGCCTACATGATGTCCAAATTTGGCGATCTTGGGCTCGTTCGATTCGTCTCGTCGAGCCACTCGATTTGACTAGAAGCTAATTAAAATCGGAGACCGTTTGGTAACTCAAATTGTGGTACGAGCTTTCCAACAGCACTTCGGGTGCTTGATTTGCGCTCATTTTGGCTCGGAATGAGATGAATTTGGTGTCGTTGGGTTCGTATTTCCGAGACGCTCAGTTTGATTATAGGCTCGCTGAAATCAGAGTTCAGGTGCTTCCAGATTTAATTTTTGAAGTTTCCAAGTTAATTTTTGCCTCGAGATTCGTGCCCGATCAAGATAATTTTATGATGACGTATTAAGAGTAAAATTTTTAATTCCATTTAATTTCAAATAATTTACTTTTATTTTTTAAATAAAATTAAATGTCAGAAAATGAACATATAAAACATACTGAATAAATAAAATAATAGATATTATGTTTATATTGAAATAAAATTTTAATTTTATTTCAATAAAAAATTAATAAGAATATTTCGAAATAATTCTTTCTTAAAAGTCCTAGCATAGATATATGCGCCATCGAATTTTAGCCAAAACGAAGTAGGACCACCCAGCTTGGCAGGATTCACAATCTTTGTCGACACCCTTTTAATTCTTTTTGGACTTTATACTTTTCTCTTCTTTTTCTTTTTTTTTAATATTTTTATCTCACGGTATAACTTGTTATTTATACTATAGGCGTTCTTGATCCTATGCGTGACTATTCTGTATTTTTATTTTATTTTTGGAGCCTAATGTTCATTTGAAAATTTAAAAAATTATATAAAAGCTGTTAAATTTTTATATATTTACTTATCTTATATTTAAAATTTAATATTTATCTGTATAATATTCTAATTTTTAAATGATATAAATATATCATTAATATTATGTTATTAAAAATAATATTTAATTTTCATATATAAAATTTTAAGACTTACTATATATTATATAAATAAATACATAATAGTTTAGGGATAATTACTTTAAAAAAAATCTGATCATTCCGTGACCTCACCCTCTGTTCTGACTCTTCTTCCAACGCAGGAGCTGAGAGAGCAAAGCAGCAGCCATGGACGCCGACGGCCATATGACAGCAAAGGGGCAGGAACAAAATCAAACCATTTACCACCAATCCATCAACAAACCAGTAGAAGACCCCATGTTACGAGTTCCGACAGAGAAACCCCCCTTCACCCTCAGCCAAATTAAAAAAGCAGTTCCACCCCATTGCTTCAACCGCTCCACTCTTCGCTCCTTCTCCTACATCCTTCACGACCTCCTTATTTCTACCGTCCTTTTCTACCTCGCCTTCACCCTCCTCCCCACTCTCCCCTCCCCTTACTCACTACTCGCCTGGCCCCTCTACTGGTTCGCTCAAGGCTGCATCCTCACTGGCCTTTGGGTCATCGCCCATGAATGCGGCCACCATGCCTTCTCTGACTCCTCACTCCTCGACAACACGGTTGGCCTGATTCTCCACTCCCTACTCCTCGTCCCCTACTTCTCCTGGAAATACTCCCACAGCCGGCATCATTCCAACACCGGATCTCTCGATCGCGACGAGGTCTTCGTCCCCAAAACCCGATCATCTCTCCCCTGGTACTATCCTTACCTCAAGAATCCCCTCGCCCGCCTCCTTACCCTCGCCTTCACAGTCACCCTTGGCTGGCCACTCTACCTCATCTTAAATGTCTCCGGACGCCCTTACCCTCGCTTCGCCTGCCATTACGATCCATATTCTCCCATCTACAATGCCCGCGAACGCGCACAAATCTTCCTCTCCGACGCTGGCGTCCTCGCTGTCTTCTATCTTCTCTACCGCCTCTCCTCTGCACTGTCACTTTTATGGGTCATTCGGCTCTACGGCGTTCCTCTTCTAATCGTGAATGCATGGCTTGTGATCATCACTTACTTGCAGCATACTCACCCCGCTCTTCCGCACTACGACTCGAAAGAGTGGGATTGGCTTCGCGGTGCATTGGCTACGGTCGACCGCGACTATGGCTTTCTCAATCGCGTGTTTCATAACATTACTGATACACATGTGGCGCATCATCTTTTCTCGACCATGCCGCATTACCACGCTATGGAGGCGACGAAGGCTATTCGGCCATTACTGGGTGTTTATTACCGGTACGATGACACGCCGGTTCTAAAGGCAATGTGGAGGGAGGCGAGAGAGTGCATTTATGTGGAGGCTGAGGGGACGGAGAAGCGGAGCGGGGTATTCTGGTACAGCAACAAGCTATGATCAGGGATGGGAGATATGATGTAGAATGAAGGGTCAGAAATGGTTGGTGAGGATTAATGCTGTTGGCTTCGGCTTGGTTGGTGTGTTGCTTACCACTTGAGCTTTTTTTTACTATATCTTATTTTTGGGGGCATTTTGTTGCTTTGTGGTTTAGTTTGTAGTGCTATTTCTTTTGATTTTCACTTTTTTTAAGACTTCCTAAAAATGGATTTTTAAAAGTTGAGTTGAAATATTGATGATGAAATTTGTAACAAAAGTTTTTTGGTATAAAATTATAGAAAATATTAGACATTATTTTAAAACTATTGGAAATTTATAAAGATATATATAAATTTTATTTAACTCTTTCATAAGTTTTGGAAGCCAAAGTGATCCGAATTTGTTAATGGAAGATATTCTATTATACTTGTGGGTCAACCCGGTGAACTATAGCATGCTCGTTAGAATGAAGAGTGTAGCGAGGGGAGTAAAGAGAAGGGTTATTATATGTGTCTCAAATTGGTAGGGTTCTCATTATTACAAAGAGAAATCTCAGCGATCCCCAACTATTTCAAATCATCTTTTATTTATAGGATTCTAAGGGCTAAATAAAAGGCTATATAGAGAAAAAAATAAAAAATTATGAACTATATATAATATCCATACAACACTACTTGTTAATCTAGACACATGATGTGCCTTAAAGGGTTGGCGGAGGATGAAGTTAATTGGGTTCTTGGGTGAGTTGAGTGACAGTGTGTAGGTTCTGAGTGAGTCTACAAGTCAGCTCTGTTAGAGTAGTCGGGATTGATTGATGACTAGTGCAGATCTAGGATAGCCTTGTTGATAAAGGCTAGTAAGTCAGTAAAAATGGAGAGCTTTAGGCCTAGCTAGCATTTGTTACTTAATGATGTGAGGAGTTCTCTATAGAAACTCCCTTCTAACAAAGATGGACAACTTTGAATGTTTTGATGGGAGTAGAATTGGTTGGGGTAGTGGTATGTGGTGATTTGATGTGGAATCTTCGATTCGGCTCGTGCAAGGCAAGTCCCTTAGTAGGCTCAAGCGAGCAAAGCTTGTTGATCTCCTTGGGCAGGTCTCTCTAGTAGTTCTCAGTGAGTTCTTCAAAGAAATCCTTCTTGTGGGTGAGTATTGTCGTCGTGGTCTTATATTTTACCTATTAAACACCAATGTAGGCATTCATGGCTATATATATTTAGTTTCTCAATTAACTTATCCTTTTTGATAGAAGAGTGGATAAGACAGTGAGTGAATTAAATTAAATATGAATTTTAAGTGCGAACAAACAAATAAATACAATTTTTCTGTCTTGTTTATGTTTTAATCTCGGCGACTATGTTGACTTCGCAATGATGATGTGACAATGAGAGGATATGCCACCTTCCATCGGGCTCTCATAAATTGGGCAAATTATTAGGTCCGGTCACCTGACAAAGAAATACATCTGGATTTCTCTCTATCTACAGTAAAGCGCAGTTACTGTAGCAGTCGCGCTTTGACTGCTCTTTTACTGTAGACAGAGAAAAATTCTAATCTATCTCTCTGTCAGGTGACCCGATGTAATAATTCGCCCATAAATTGAGGGTTCTTTTCTTAGAAAATTTTACTTCTAATCTTTGATGATTTGAGAGTCAGTGACTATGCGAGATAGAAGTAAACCCTATTGAGTTAGCTCGCGCACGCGTAGACGTCAATGATGTTCATTTTTTCATCTTTGGTTAGGTGAGGGAACCAGAATTTAAATGAAGGCAGCTGACATTGTTAAAGGTTTCTCGAGTAAGAACGTTGATGGAAAAGGCGCTCAACTGGTTCCTGGATTTGGTGGACACATTGCCACTTGTCCTAGTAAGAATGATAAAATTGAAATTAGGGTGGTGACTACGGTGATTAAGATGCCTTTGTGATGATTAGCGGCATTGGGATGGCCACCATTGAGAGCGCAGGTCCTTTCTTAGGGGCTGCCATGACAATGGATGAAGATGAAAATCCTCTATTGTAGTGAATGCTGAGGTTGGTCCCATTGGGGAGGCCATGAGTGTGAAACTACCACTTCCGTGTGCTGTTAAGTAAAAGAAAGACAATTCAATTATTTGAAAATAACATTTGATATATAGTCAAAATTTTATCTTGATTGAGCATCGAAAATTTCAAATTTAAATTCTAGACCATATGAGCTCCAATTTCATTAAATTTATATTCAAACTAAAAGTCTCGATAAGACGAACCCAACGACACCAAATTTGACCTTATCTAAGGTCAAATGGGTTCAAGTCAAAGGCCCTAAGCACATTTGGAATGTTCAAATCATATTGGGCAATCAAATGATTTTCAAAAGTGACTTTCTTATAGCTCATGGTAAGAATAGGCTCGGCTTTCCCTTTTTGAAATTTTTATTTCTTTTTCTGTTTTACTTAATATAAAGATGTAATCTGATGAAAATTTCCTATTTGTATGAGTTCTTTATTTTTATGAGACTATTTATTTTTACTTCTACTCTTTTGCTTTTCTATAATGTGAAGAGCACCATGTCGTGAGGCAACTGAGAATAATTTGCGAGTGCGCTAAGCTAGGTAATTTTGACGACTGATAGTGAGTGAGCACTCGAGTGTCGAGTGAAATAATTTTAAAAAGATTTTTTTTTCTGTATGATAATTAGAGGGTACGAGAGATGGTGTGGGTGAGTTTGAATTGAATGAACTATAAAATAACTCACCCAATGAGCAACAACTTACTTGAGGTTGGCAATTGAAAGAGAGTGACTTAAGAGAGAAAAATATCTTAGGGTGAGTGAGAGAACTATCACAATTTTTTTTTACATTGGAGAGAGAAAAATATGATATTTATTGATTTAGAAAAAGCATATGATAAAGTTCCAAGAGAAGTGCTATGGAGAGTTCTTGAAAAGAAAGGAGTCAATAATGCTTATATTCAAATCATTAAAGATATGTATGCAGGAGCTATTACTTGTGTTCAAACACAAGGTGGTTTGACCAAGTATGTCCCTATTTCGGTTGGGTTACATCAAGTATCAGCCTTAAGCCCATATCTTTTTGCTTTAGTCATGGATGTTCTCACTAGACATTTGCAAGAGGATGTACCTTGGTGTATGCTTTTTGCTGATGATACTCTTCTTGTTAATAAGACTAGAGAGGTAGTTGAAGGTAAACTTGAATTATGGAGGTCAACCTTAGAGTCTAAAGGTTTTCGCTTGAGTAGATCTAAAACGAAATATATGGAGTGTAATTTTAGTAGTAATAGACCTAGTGAGGGGATTGTGACTTTGGGCGATCAAGTCATTAATAAGAGTACACGTTTTAGATATTTTGGATATATTGTGCAGAGTGATGGTGAAATAGATGGGGATATTATCAGCAAAATTCAAGTTGGATGATTGAAGTGGAGGAATGCATCGGGCTTGTTATGTGATAGAAATGTACCCCACAAAATTAAGGGAAAATTCTATATGATGGTAGTGAGGCATGCAATGCTTTATGGTGCCGAATGTTGGCCATTAAAAGAGAAGCATAATACTAAGTTAAGTATGGCTGAGATGGGATGCTTAGGTGGATGAGTGGCTTTACCCTTAGAGATAGGATACGAAATGAGCATATACGTGAAAAGGTTGGAGTAGCTCCAGTAGAAGATAAGATTAGAGAGAGTCGCCTTAGATGGTTTGGTCACATAAAAAGGCGGCCTTCCAATGACCCGGTTAGGAGAGTAGAGGTATTAGATTTGACTTGTGTTAAAAAAGGTAGGGATAGACCTAAAAAGACTTGGTTAGAAAATATTAGGAATGATTTTTAGAAAATATTATTAGATTTAAAAGAGAATTTTACTTTTAATATGACACAATGGAGAAAAAAGGATTCATGTAGCCGACCCAACGCAGTGGGATGAAGGCTTGATGTTGTTGTTGGAGAGAAAAATATATCTTTTTTCAATTAATTGGATGTGAGGTCACTTCAATATATGTATATAGTACTTTCCTCTATAAATAGATCACAGAGTGCGCTATGGGAGTGGTCTCCATTTGTAATTTCTATTCGAATGTACTCCCAACTTATCTGCAATCATTTAATTGTGAGTGCACAATGAGAATATGGTCCTTCATAAATGTATCAAGGAATTCACTAACACGCAAGATCCATCAAAGTGTATATTGTATGATGAGTGTGATGACTTCAATTTTTGTGCCTATTTCTCAAGCCACAGAACTTTAGTGTGAGGTTGGTAGGCGATGACAAGCACATCGACTTACTCTTTGTTGTCACATTGGTCGTCCCTTGTGATGGCTTCCTACGAGGCAAGTGATTTCTCTTGTGCACTATGTTGGATGAAATTCTCAACTACTATGGTGTCATCCTCACTCATCTCTTCCCCAACTCATTGGTGACTATCATCTCCTTTTTGTTATACTTCTATGAGTGCCAACTACCCTAATTACTCAATCTATTTTGGCACATCTTCATGGCGTGGCATCCAAAGTTGACTATGTGTAGTTCTCACCAACAGCCATGAAAGGGATTTGGCTAGTAAATAAGGTCTTTAATTGGATGACCATATTCGTCAATGCTTAAGGGGTTGTTTCCTGGATGGTGCCAACCCTATCTAGTCACCTTCCATAATAAGAAGGGGATCATATCCACTCTCATGGAGGAGAACAAGTGAAGTTTGAGATCAAGGGCTAGCCATTGTTCTCGCTTCATCACCTTGCCTACCATCACATATCTTGAACCACTTTTATGGTAAATTCCTATTTTTGAAGATTTGGCTCAAGTCTTTTACTAGCATATTGTTAAATAATCATTATTTATATAAAAAAAATTGAGAGTTGTGTGTTCCATTGAAATCTATAGAGCTTGAAGGATCAAATGGATGATTAGGAAAAAGTGGAAAGAGAAAGAAGATGGTGGTGTCTACAAAGGGACCCATTAAGCTTGTTCGTGAAGTGGTGCCCCCTATAGAAGAAGGAAAGAGTAAATGCGAGAGAGGGAGCTCACACAAGGGTGCCAACCTCGAAGAAGCTAAGAGTGTCCAAGGAATTGTATTACTCCACTCACTAAAATGAAGAGCTCAATGATGACTATGGGTATTAGAGAAAACAGAAAGGTTTTTGTCATGGCCAAAAACATATTTATTGATGAAAAAGCGAATGGGAGGAGGGCTACAAAAAGAAAAGAATGTCCCCTACAGTCACAGTGTTATGAAATGGGAAGGCTCCCACAGAGTTTGAGGGGTTGGTTGTAGCTCATTAAGTGGGGAGTTGTTGAGTACTAAGTCATTGAGCAGCATTAAGGTGAGGTCATCATGTGATTGAGACTTGATGATTTTATCAGTGATGTATCAAATAGGACAACCTCATTCATTCCAAGGTGTTAAAAGACCACAAAAATACAATTTGGACTATATATATGGGGTCCTTCATGATAAATGCTGTAGGGATAGTGTGTTAGACATTATTGTTTTTTATTCATCGTTAGTAAAACTAATTGGGAAAAATCTAGGGCTTAGAAGTAAAATTATGGTAAATTCTAAAAAAACTTGGTGGATAAGTGCATTAAGAAGCTCTCCCTATTGGAGAAGGCAAGTCTAATGGAAAGATAGTTCACCAAGTTGAGGGAGTAGGTTTAAGATAAACCAGTGATATAGAGAGCCGTTATGAAATCTATGTTGGAGATGTAGAAGTAGGCAAATGAAGATCTCACAAAGTCTATTGCTATGTTTAAAGTGATAAAAAAGGAATAGGTTCATTTCCTTGTTGGGAAAGACATGATAGAGTTCTATATGAATGCTTTCAATCCTTGATCAAATATTATCTTAAGAAGCTCGCCTCAAAAGGTTAAGTTGCTCCTCATTTCAAAGTTCCTACTGTTAATTTATGTGTGATCTAATAATTGTGTCAATAAATCGAGTTGTATTATTAACTTAGACCTTAATTCTATTGGTCATGCATCAATAGCATTTCATTAGGCCACTTCTAAAAGATGATCAATTATCTTTGAAGAAGATACATATGACCTAGCTAGAATCCTCCAGATGTACTGACCAAGATTATGACAATTGATAAGCTAAAGCTTTTTATAGATTCGGTTGGTTTTCATGAAGGTTGAGGGAAGGGGTGAGCCACACATAGGTACTAAGGCTAGTATTACTGTATGGGGGAAAATTTTAATGCCGCCACACAAATTATGTGTTTTCCTCTTTTGTAATTGAACACAACATTAAAAATAAAGTAACACAATTCTACAATGGATTTAATATCAAAATAGGGTTTTAGAAAATGATATTTCTATGATCAAACATAATTCCAAAAATAACATATCATCTTGAAAGATGAACATGCGATTCTATAGAGTGTGCTTAAAAATAGAAGTAAGGTTTTAAAAATTTATCCATTCTTTTGATCAGACGTAACAAACAGAATGTTATATCATCTTAAAATACAAACATAACATTCTTCAAAATATCTAAAAGAAAATGAGTTTTATAAAATTCATCATTTTTAAATTTGAATATAATAAATAGAATATTATATTACATGAAAAGATAATAATGAAATTCTATAAATTTATTTAAAATTAGAAAAGAAATTTTTAAAAGATATCTATGTTCCCAAATATTTTCCCCTTATTTTATAGGAATAAAATAAGATTTATTTTAATCTGCGATTCTCAAATCTCTAGAGGCGTGCTTCTAAGAAAACTCTCAATTAAATAAGTGATTTTATATCCTTTGATTCCAAAGTAGACGACAAGGAAAGAAGTAGGAAATTTTTCAAGGAGAAATTTAAGGTTGAACAGTTCTTAATGAGTCAAAGGAGAAAAAGTAGGAAGTGCCAGATTCTGAGAAGCTTAGAGGCAACCTCAGTCTACTCTATATTGGGATTTATATTTTAGGATAAAATTTTTATATTTGAGTTGGCATTTTATTAGAAATTTGAGATTTTTTTGGAGGGTGAGGACTTAAAATTTGAAGATCTACCTCAAAATTTAAATCTAAATTAGGTACTACAAAATAGTGACCGGAACCTATCTAATGAAATCCAAATCTAAACTTACCCTTGTTTA